ATTTTATTTACACCTTATAAAATACTCTTCACACTTAACTACTAAAACCACCAAAATTTCAAAATAAAAATAAAAAAATTTTCTCATTACACTCATCCAAATCTTTTCATCTTTCCCTATCATACCCTTACACCCATTTAATTCTTTAATTTTTCCCTTTTTTCAATTGAATATATAATAAAACATTAAATCAAAATTTAATCCGAAAATCATCAATCAAATCCTCAAATCATAAGTCTTCAAGTAATCTATTTATCCAAAAATAAAATTAGTTATTTTTGTTAAATATTATCAATGATCAATTTGGGTATATGATTTTTGTTCTATAAAATTATATAATACAAAAATAAATTTTCATAAATTTTAAAAGTCGTACCAAAATATATTTTAATAAATTCAAGTTTTACGAAAATTCATTTATGTGAATTTGTAAAGAGTTATGAAAATGAATTTTGGTAAGTTTTAAAAGGATGTATGAAGGGTTAAAAAATAATTTAATATAAGATCAATTTTAAATCAAAATGTTTGGATGTAAAAATTAATTTTTGAAGTTTATTTAGAAGGATCCATAAAGCATTATTTGGGGTAGAGCACTCCATAAACCACCAGCGTAAACACGTGTCAATCACAGACCTCGAAATTCGCAAGGGCAATCACATTACCCGCGTTTCTTTATCATCACCCCCGTCCCCCACAAGAAAAAAGTGATAACAATAAAACGCCAAAGCGGTGTCGTTCTTTTTTGTTCCTTTTTTTTCTCTTAAGAAGGCAAGGGAAATTTTTCGAAAGCCATCCAGCCACGATCTTCGCCATCTCAGGTTCGCTCTCTCATTTCTTCATTTTTTATTTTGGAAATATTTTGGGGATTTAATTTCGATCGGATTTTAAATTTTAATTTGACGATTTTCAGTTGATTTTAAAGAGAATTATTTTTGGAAAAAGAAATTAAAAGATGAGTGAAGTTTTCGAAGGATATGAACGGCAGTATTGCGAACTATCGGCAAATCTTTCCAAGAAGTGTACGGCAGCTGCTGCTCTGGATGGAGGTTACAATTTAAATTTTTATATATACACAAATCTTTAATTTTTTTGTTAATTTCTTTATTTTATTGCCCCTAATTGCGGATAATTGATGGCATAATCAGTTCTTTTCTTTCTAATTTATCGCGATTAAGGGTTCTTAGGTTATTTTGTGCTAATTTTGTTAGATTTATGCTGATTATAAATTAGTATTTTATTTTAGAAAAGAAGATCCGATCGTCTTGATCTCTCCTTTGCTTTTTAAATTTAATTTAATTTAATTAATAATGATTTCGGTGGTGCTTATTTTCAGCTTAAAATATTTAATTTTTTTAATAGTTTTTTTTTTTTTTTGGAATTCATTAAGGCATTGATGTAGATTAAGAGAGAAAAAAACTAAACTTTTGCCACTTGATTTTGGAACTTTTGAGTTAAATATATCTAAGGGAAGAATTTGAAATGCTTGAATTTTAAGTGATAAACTGGGAATTTTGAAAGTAATTCTGAAGTATAAAGTAGAATATATGTTGTGATTGGAATCCGAATTTTGGAATTAACTTTCACAGTTGTATCATAATTTGATGTGCGATGAGGTAGCTCTTGTTCTTTACTTGGAATCTTTAAATGGATGTATTATTACTTGCATATATCATCCCTGAAACAGCTGAGGAAAGTGATAGGAAATTGTTTGGTAGTTGGATGATTGAGATGTATGAATCTAAAAAGGCAAAAAGAAGGAAAAGAAGGAAAGAAAATGGAAAAAGTTAGAATTAAACTCAGCTGTCACTCTATATGTTTTCGCCTTTTAAACAATGGCATTGGGCTGATATGGCTTAGTGTACCCTACTTAAGGGAAAAAAAAGATTTTAACTTACTCCATTTTAAGAAAAAACTTGTGTGTGGTTACCCTTGCCTCTACCGTTTGAATCATTGAATTGGTAAAGGAAAGTGACAGTAAAGAGTTTGGTAGAAAGGCAATTAAGACATGAATATGAATAATATACGTTTCCTTTCGTTGAATAATGTTGTAGGTTCATTTTTTAATTCATTGGAGGTGTTTGATGAGAAATGTTTTCAAATTTTTTTGAGCATCAGCCTCTATAATTAGCGAATTGTTCTTGTTCAAGTTCTTAATTGTTTTTCTATTTGCAGAGCAGAAGAAACAAAAACTTTCTGATATAAAAGCTGGATTGGAAGCTGCAGAAGCTCTGGTAACTGGTTTATTGCATGTTTCGATACTCCTATTTGGTATTTCCTTTCTTTAGGTATTGAACTTGATGTTGCTCTTTTGATTATCAGATTCGGAAAATGGACCTTGAGGCAAGAAGTTTGCTGCCAAATGTCAAGGCTGTGCTTCTTGCTAAGCTAAGGGAATATAAATCTGATCTTAACAATCTGAAAAGTGAAGTTAAAAGAATTGCATCTGGCAATTTAAATCCAGCTGCTCGAGATCAGTTGTTGGAATCTGGAATGGCTGATGCCCTCACGGCATGTTTTGGTTCTTCTAATTTCCTTTTAACATGCTATGGTTCTATCATGGTCTGCTTTCCTTACATTTAACTTTTGATTACTTGTAATTGATGAACATGTAAACAGGCTTCAGCTGACCAAAGATCAAGACTAATGATGACTACGGAGCGGTTGAATCAGACCAGTGACAGAATTAAGGACAGCAGAAGAACCATGCTGGAAACAGAAGAGCTTGGTGTTTCAATTCTTCAGGATTTACATTCACAACGACAGGCGCTCTTACATGGCAATAACACGGTATCTCTTTTTCTCACCATGGTTTTCCACTCTGTTTACGGTTCATGACCTCCAATTCTCTACCATAAGTAGTATGCTTTTTTTAGCTTTACTTTTCTCATATTTGAGATGTAATTTCATTCAAGCTCTATTTGACAACTCCTTAATAATAACTTTTTTTTATTATGATGTTAGTATTCATCCCAAAAAAAGCATCAGCATGCCACATTCACACCTTGTAATCATCAAGCATTATTCTCTTCCTTCTTCATCCCTGTTTTCTGCTGACTATTACTTGACCATGTTATGCCAAAAGCTTATATGATTGTTAGGCCGTAAATTTTCTCACATTAAGCAGTAATGGTTGATTGTAAACCTTTCTGTTGCATTAACATGCCATGTGGAAGGCGTATATGGTAGTTGGACCTCAAAATTTCTCACATTAAGCTGTAATGGTTGATTGTAAGCCTTTTCAGATATCTATTTAAAGTTGGGTTTTCCTTCCTATTGCAGCTTCATGGAGTGGATGACAACATTGGGAAGAGCAAGAGAATTTTGACAGCTATGTCAAGGAGAATGAGCAGGAACAAGTGGATTGTTGGCATCATTATTGCAGTCCTTATCATTGCTATTGCCCTTATTTTGTACTTCAAACTTGCTAAATAGTCAACCATTTGTATCTTGGCCATGTTTGGTTGTCTTGGTTTCTGGGTGTTTCTGAGAGACATAATTTTATTTTGTCCTTGCGAGCTTGCCCATTTTGAGTGCCGATATAAATGTATGCTTCATTAATCCTCAGATATAATTTAATTATTTATCTTTTCTGATGATGTGGTGTTGGTTTGCTTGTTTAATGCGTATGCACGGTCGCAGTTATGACTATGCATGGGAAGTGTGGGATGGTGGGTTGTTTTGGTGAGATGGAAGGAGAAGAATATGGTGTCATAGACAGTGGTTTTGGATGGGGTGTTTGATGAGATGCCAGAGCGAAATGAAGTTGCATGGACCATAATGATTGTGGGTTATGACACGGTCAGGAGATGTGATGATGGATAGATGGATTCATGTTTATGGTTTGAAGATGATGGGGAAAGGGTTGATACCGCTTTTAAGCTTTTAGAGTGCATGCCACGAAGGAATGTGGTGGCATGGAATGCTATGGTTAGTGGGTTAGCTCTGCATGGACAAGGTAGATTTGTGGTGGATATGTTCAAAAGGATGGTTAAAGTAGTCGGACCAGATTATTTAACATTTTAAGATTCTTTCGAAGATCTACGGTAGGGAAATTGTAGTCAGAGATGGCAGCCGGTTTCATTGTTTAAAGCAGGGATCATGTTCTTGTTGTGATTTTGGTATCTTTGACTGCATCAAAGTCGACATTGACTGAACCAACTTCCAAATTGGCCCAACATTTAACCTTAGTAAAAAATATTGCTCTTCCCCTCTCCTCAATTCCAGATGTATACATACGTTCTTCTCATTGTTTTGGCATTTGATATGAAATGGAATTTTATATTTGAGGTCTACTTTTCTATTGGATCTTCCTTTCTTATGGAATATTGTAAATTAATGCAAAAATAAATAATTTTTTTATTTGAAAATAAGATATACAAACTTTACTCTTTGAATAAAAGAGATACATAAATGATTGAGTCAAATGCTTAAATAAAATGAATTTTGTTTTGTGAGATTTGACATGATGCCTAAAGCAACATCAAGTAATAACCAACTTTGGATGAACTTGTCGATAGAAAGGCAACGTTACCTAAGTTTGATTATTAAAAATGGCTTTTATTGCACTAGATTTTTAATCTGAATAACCCCCAGCAAATGGGGATGTAGCTCAAATGGTAGAGCGCTCGCTTTGCATGCGAGAGGCACGGGGTTCGATCCCCCGCATCTCCATTGTTAGTTTTTTTTTTAATCAATAAACTACGCGGAAAAAATGCCCACGCTCCATAGCATTCAAGCAATATTTTTTTCCATACAAGTTTCAGCCATTGCAACTTTGCAATATCAATATCCATACGGTCTCCAGAATTTGGGCTATTTTTTCAGAGGTTTAAAAGATATCATCAAATAAGTAAATCTAAACAATGGTGCTCATCTTCTTACAGCGCTTTGTCTAAAGCCGGTTTCTTATTTTTCTGTCCAGCACTGCACGCAGGGTCGTTAATTGTTATCCAAAAATGGTAATCCATATCAATGCAAACAGCTTTTTACTGTCTGGAAAAAGGTGAAAATCCATTACATCGCTGATTATCAACGCATGCCAGCTTCCATGGTGACTTCTAAGCAGAATATGGTATTCTCAGAGCCATTCTTTGAGCAAGCCAAGGTCGGCTTGGATCAGGGTCAATGAATCCATGCATAAGGAATTGTTCTGCTTCTTCATCCAGCAGTTCCCTAGCCCAAGTAACTCGTTTTGATTGACAACAGCCGGGGCCATAACATCTGCGGTTTCAATCAAAGAAAAAGAGGGAAGTCAAAAGGCGAATATAGATACATCCAGCAAAGTTCCTCAATGAATGTATTTTCAAGACCAGGCGATCAGTTGAAGTTGTACAAGCTTGACAAAATCTTTCAAATAAACATCAACTATCCGTTCTAGCATGCACGATGTATCGTCAAAATTCGATGAAGCCACTGCCAGGCTATCCCCATATTTTCAATATAAAAATGTTAATGGGCGTGAACATGGTGATTTTCCAATAATTCAAAGTAATAGAACTAAGGATAGGACAGCGAGAACGGAAGCTACCTGTACTCATAAAAGCAAGCACTTCTCTCGTTTTCTGCTTTTCCCCAGTTATTCCAACCTACATGTTTGATACATTGATCCATATAAGTGTATGCAAACACCACCCTTCCAAAGGGTCCCCATGGACGCCCAAGATATGAATATGAAGACCCTCCGTTGCCTGTTATGACACATCTGCTTCAATGGCACAAGTTGTTCAAAGAAGAATTACATATGATGGAAGTAAATGTCGTCAAAGGAAATTGAATGACTACGGAACCCAGGCAAACCTTATTGGTCACAGCTGATCAGCAAAATAACTGATGACAGGTGATGAGTTAATAGAATTGCCTTATGCAAATGATATTGATGAAAATGAAGACGATTAATACCATTAGATTTCAGACAACGGAAAGACAAAAGAAATCCATATTTTTTAATCTAATTTTCAATATAATCAAAGATACAGGGAATAATAGCTTGGGAAAATGCGGCGTAACTTTTGCTTCAAGAACTTGAATGAATCCTACTCAAACCAGCAGGTAATGACTCTACTCATTTAACTCCAAAGTGGTCTACAATGAACTATTTTATTTTGATTCAAACATATGAACTATGTTGGAAAGTTACCTCCATCTTTTAAACTATTTAAAGTTTATTGTTTAAACTTGACAAAAGGAGCTTTCAATGACAAAAATTTATCAAGTTTCCTGGAAGAAATTCTCCACATCAACATTAGGAAATTTATGGAAGAACTTAATGAGGAATTAACAAAAAAAAAAAAACATATAATACAAAAGGACACAAGAAAACTAATCAACCACAAACCTCAAAAACACGTAACCAGTTGATTCCTGAGAAGATTTCCTGCTCTGTGCAGTTATAAAACCATCTGACTTGCAGTGGATATGACAATGCTCTAGGAGAGCTGTACTATTTCCCAAAATGAAGTCCACGCTTCCTTCAATATAGCAATCTTTCAAGTACTGTCTTCCATAATGCAGGTAGAGAGTATCCTGCAAAAGTTTTTACAAGCAGTAAGATTTTAGCTATAAGTACAACATAATGAACACAATTAATCATCTAAATTTGTCATGAACTACCCTTAAGACCTTACCAGGCAGTGAACAATATCTGCACACAAAAATATAGTTTTGCCAACTATTCTCTCACTCAATTGAGAATCTCAACTTTAACTGGTTGAACCAGTAGATTTTTTATGATTTTTAAATAGCAAAAGGTCTACGATTCAAAGGGTAGAATGATACAATATACGGCTTACTAACTCCAATACATTAGACCAACCAAAATGGGAGAATTAAGCACCTGCCACCCCAGAAATCTGCAATTATAGAATGCACATCGGTCTGCCGTTACTCTGATTGCCACAGCTTGCCCAGAACCCTGTAAGAAAGAAAAGGTTAATGCCTTAAGAATAATTGGAACACCAACTTCGAAGCATTTGAAAGCAACTCAAAATCTGCATTCTTGGAAATGACCAGAACCTCAATTTGGACACTGCAAAACACCCCAAGACTAAAAATCATATCTATGAGTTAATCAAAAGGTACACTTCCATTCATTGATGCTCCACTTTATTAAATACCCACTTATCTGAAGTCCATATAAATTCAGAAAACAAATAAAAAAAAAGAAGTGGCCTTCTTGGTGATGATACTCAAACAATAGAACAAAACTTCAATCACAATTTGAAGAAAATGATGATATCCAAAAATAAGCTTAAAAAAGAACAGAATTGTATAACTTCACCTGTGGAGAAGAGTTTTCAAAAGTGACATTCTCTGCAATGAAATCCTCTCCTTCCACAATCACACTCCCACAGCCAAACGTCCCTGTCCCAATCACCCTGGAAGCCTTAAAAAACCACAGCACCATATATTACACGTGGCAAAAACCGAGATAAGGTAGCACAAAAGGAACCATATTTACCTGGTGATGTTCAGTTTTAGTAGCGTTATTGTTCCAGGTAAGAAGACTGAGCTCAGGTCGGAGACCAACCAAGGTGATGAAGTTCTTAGTCTTGGGAACATAAACGGGCTGCTTGTAAACACCAGGTGACAGTCGAATGATCGTTCGACATGTGTTACAGAGTGGAACCGCGTCTATTGCTTCCTGTACTGTTCGGTAGTCTCCATTGCCGTCTTGGGACACCGTTATTACCCTAGCCGCCATAGCTAAAAAAAAAAAAAAAAAATCCTTCTCCTTTCCCTCTCTATATCTCAATGTTATTTTTTTCAGTGAAGTTAATTATACATTTACAATCTGAATTTTAAAATATATACATTAATATTTAAAAAAATGAAAATGAATCATTTATACATTAAATTTTCAAACCCAAACAGTAAATTTCTTATTTGTAATGAAAAATGAAATGAAAATGAAAATGTATATAAATATACATTCTTATTTATAGATAACTATTTTTTTAAACGATTACCGTCGAAAAACGCATTCACAACTGCTTATTCAGGCCAAACTCAAACACTATATCCCCATTTTAACACGTGTCGATACAAAATTAAGTAAGAATCAATCAATCAAATCCAACAATATCCGGATCCGGAGACAATGACGGTGAGACCCCACATGAAGTGTCGTTTCCTTATTCTCCTCAAAAGTCAAACCCAGATCTTTGATGAGGAAAACTCCTATAACCTAAAACGTCACCGTTTAATCTTGATAAACCAAAACTCAAAAGTGTCCTATTAAAAGGCTTCCCCCTCAAAGTTTTCACTTTCGCATTTCCATCACAAACTTTTCCGTTCGAGACGCGAGAGAAACGATGCCGTACTACTCGAGGCCAGGCGAAGATGACGTCCATGAATTCGACGAGTTTGATCCGACGCCGTACGGTGGCGGATACGATCTTGTCTTAACCTACGGACGTCCATTGCAACCGAGCGATGAGACTTGTTACCCTTCATCGACACCGTCCGATGGAGACTTTGATTATGCTCGGCCCCATTTCTCTTCCGGTAGCGAGCACTTTGCTTACGGCGACGAAGCTCTCCAAACTGAATACAGTAGCTACGCCCGACCCAAGCCCCGACCTGGACCCTCTTATGGTGGTGGACCTGGTGGGCATGGGGCTCAACATGAACCTGGTTATGGAAGGAGGCCTGAATATGAGCAATCTGAATCGGGTTATCGACGTAAGCCGCAGCTTGACCGACCCGGATCCGAATTTGAATCTGGTTATTGCCGAAAACCTGAATTTGAGCAGTCACCTTCACCGGATTTTGGATCCGGTTATGGCCGGAGACCCGAATATGAGCAGCCACCTACACCGGAGTTGGGTTCTGGGTATGGCCGGAGACCCGAATATGAGCAGCCACCTACATCTGAGTTTAATTCCGGGTATGGACGGAGACCCGAATATGAGCAGCCTCCTCCTGAATTTGGATCTGGGCATGGCCGGAGACCCGAGTATGGGGAACACGGATCCCAGTACGGAACTGGAAATGGCAGGAAACCCGGTTATGGGGAACACGGATCCGAATTTGTAAGGAAGCCTGCGTATGGGCAGTCCGAATCTGAATACGGGTCTGGCTATGGCCGAAAGGCAGAATATGAGGGTGGTGGACCTGAATATGGAACCGGGCACCGACGGCTGAATGAGGTCGAATATGGGTCGGGTTATGGAGATAGGACAGAGACCGAGTATGGGAGGAAGCAGGGCTATGGTGGGGAGGAGTATGGAGGAGAGAGGGGTGAGTATGAGAGGAAACAGAGTTATGGGAGATCAGAGACAAAGGAAGGAGGGTATAGGAACCCGAGTTATGGGACGAAAGATGATGATTCGGATTCGGATGATGAAAAGAGGAAGAGTTATGGCTATGGTGGTGAAGAAGGCTATGGTCGCAAGAAATATGTGAATAGCTTTTACTTGTTTTGCTTTAATTTCAAGGAAATAATGCTGATAGCTTTAACGAACATTTTCAACTTTGTCTTTGATTGGGTTTTTTTTATGACTTTGGCTAAATGTTAGAAGATTTTTGCTTGTGATTAGTCTTTTTAGATTTGTCATTGCTTGTTGAGATTAATGCCTGTAAACTGCAAAGCTGGTGTAGATCTATATCATATGGATCTTATCATGATTTAGTATTAGATAGGATTTGCTTGAAGATATGAAATTTGCAGAACAATTAGCAGTTATCTGATTAGAGTTGGAAAGAGTTAAAATTGTTTTGATATGCCTGTCGAGGGTGGCAAACAGGAAGAGTGAAATTTTAGCATGTATGGAACTATGAATTACATAACACGGAATTTCTGTAATTGATTGTTTCCTATATAGGTGTAAGTTCTTAGTACTAAAACTTGATATTTTCTACCTTGGTTTTTCTGTTTATGTGGTTTGATATAGCTTTATAGAATTAGATCATAGAAGCAGTCTGTTCTTTTGATTTATTGTCTCAGGTCAACGTTTTCTAATGAGTTTTTGACTCTATAGAAGCTTCCATTCTGGACTTACCTTTCAATAACATAGTAAATATTGCGTTTAGAACACATTGCTATGGCTGCTTTTATTCTCTGGATGAATGTTTTATCATCTCCATTGGAAAATGAAGGATCAGCTCTTTCAAAACATGCATCAAGGCACTTCCATTGAGTAAAATTTGAAACTTTTTTGTGTGTGTGCTGTACACTTGTACTTTGAAGTCTTCTCTAATTAATTCTTTCTTTTTTTATGTTTGTATGGCCACATGTTGAAACTAGGGTCTAGCAAAATTTTCGTGTTTAGTTCCTCTTAGCATGACGTTATACTAGGTGTCAAAAAATACGAAATGAATGAATATGGCTAGATGATTTTGAAGTAACTTAAGTTTCAGAGGATTTATATTATCATATGTTGGAAATTTTGAATGGTGAGGTGAATTATGTTGTTATATCTGCACTTGTTTCTGTTTGGTTGTTTGTCTTAAAACTCATCTAATTAATCACAATTAACATAGCAGGGAGGTGACAACTCCGATGATGATGAAAAGAAGAAGCACCACCACTATAAGCACCACCACCACAGGCGTCACGATGAGGATGATGACTAATCATACTCGCAGCAACTGCAAACGGAGTCCGTGCCATAATATCTACTAAATAAAAGGTCAAGTCATGCCTCCTTTCGATGGTATCTACTACCGTTTCGGAATGCTTCATGAGTGTCAGTGTCTGTGATTGTCAATAAAATCCCCGAACATTTGGGTTACTGCAGTTGTGCTTGCTTATTATCAAATTGATGATGATAATGTAATGCCATGATGTGCTAGCTTGTAATCAACTTTATGATGATACTATAATGCCACTATTTTGATGCTTTTGGTAGTTTAGACAGCATGATTTCTTTTGATTTATCCATCGGCCATTCAAAAGCCGGATAGCACTATTTTAAACGAAAGATTTAAGTAGGATTGCAACTTTCCGAAGTAGTGATCAGAACACTGATGTCAGAATTCCTGGTAATTATGGATAGATGAATTGATTGAAATGGAAAAAATTATACATGAAAATGAAAAAGATCCAATATCATAACCACCAACCGTTACTGTTTTTTGAGAAACCTAGATCTCTTCTATAAATTATCAAATCTATTACCAAATGAACCAGTCATTAATTTTAGTTCGTGTAAGTATCATAATCTGGGACTTATTTCATATAATCCTTGTGCCTTTTCAGGATTAACAATTTACAAATTTTCAACTCAAAAGATAGTCAACAAATATAATTAATTCAGCAAATTAATCAATAAAAAACAATGTTCAAACTACAGCAGATAGGAAAATTTCATAGTGTGAACTTATGCAAACTACAATTCCAGATTAATAAATAAATTAGTCTATTACATTTTGGCCTCTGAAAAGAACAATGAAGTTGTTGCGTATGAGTATCCCACAACTTGCAAACAGCAAGGTTAGAAGGAGAACAGAGCAAAGCTACAGGAGCTTCTTCCTCTCAAAAAATGTCTTCAGATGCCATATCTGCAACCCAGCCACCGACAAACAAACCACGAGCGAAAAGAAACTAAGAGTAGCCATTTTTGAATTTGTTTCTCTATTAAGCTGCTGCATTTCTTCCTCCCTGATAAAAAAACAGATAGAGAAAAGGAAAGATTAAAATATGAAAACCTAGTGGTTCTTGACATTACCTATAACCTGAGGAAAGTCAGTTTCTTTCTTTCTTAAAAGGAGAATAATAAGCCAACAAAAGAATGCTGCCTAATAGTAACATCCCTAAATGTTTCATACCTCTCACGAAGATGAAACATCTCTTCATGAATGGATGTGACAGTGTCGTATAATTTCTTCAACTCAAGTTCCGTTGTCTACCAGAAGGAAAAAAATGTCAAGTCAATAACCATGATATTCAATCGAAAACTCTCGCTGAAGATGTAGTGTGACATGTTTTTAACCATCACTATTTTCATGTTAACAGGCATCCAATGTTACAAGCAGGAACTATGACATAGCATTTACTGACTTCTTGAGGTCTCCAGACATCCATATCATATCAAAACTCACACCAGACTGGTGCACAGTACATTTATCCTTTCCTTCCCTCCTATGTTTTCAAAGCAGCTCCATACTAAGATTGGTTAATTATAATTATAGTTCGTATAAAGAGGGCAAACTAAACCATACAGAACTATGGAAGAATGTTTTGCAGACTTTCAACTGCTGGCATGTTTTCAGCTCTTTAAAATTACAGCTTTGCAAATATAGGCAGCCAAAGCCATATATAACTTTAAACAAGATTCAATAACATGATACGAAAAAAGACATGAAAGTAATATGGTATATAATTTTAGCAAAAATGATAAATGAGTTTGGTAAAAACCAAAAAATGCGTTATATGTTTGGCTTGTCAACCAAATTGTGACCTAATAATTTTTATATTTTACATGTATTAAATATGAAATAAATACACGTACGAGTTATCAGATCTAACCAAAGGTATATAACCATCAGTATGAAATTATCTATTTTGGATTTATATTAGATCAAAAACATGAAAGGTAATCATTATATAGACAAAGAAAGTGCTACCATTGACAGGATCTACGAATCTACTTGTGTTTCCAAAAGTTGCAAAATCTAATCTAAACATTAATCAATGTTCTAACCACAAACAATATGAAAATGGTTGAGGTAAATACACTTACTTCAACCTGACCTTTCTTCGCAATCATGGACCAATCCTTGGCAGCAACACCAGTTTTCCAATCAAAATCAATCGTAATCCTTACCGGAGGCTTTTGGTCAATTGTCCAAAAACAAGTAGTGTGATCACCACCCTCAACTGCAGTAAATGCAAAAGTACCTGAATCCACATGATCTCCAAGGTGATAATTGTTCCCATAAGGTGAAGTCACCTAAAAAAAAAAAACAAACACCTTGTTATCACCAAAATATATCCCATAAACTGGAAAGAAAATGACTGTTGGCAAATAAACTATTTTCAGGAACAACTGAACTTTTAAATTTACCTATTTTTATTCTAAATTATTATCTAAATCCAACAATCCAAATTCGTTAATATATCAAACTTCCACCATAGATTCACCCAAAAAGAACGAACTTTATCTCCGAATTTTCTAAACTAAATTCAATTCCTCAAATCAATCAAAATTCAAACTCCAAAATTCCAAAAAAGAAAATAAAAGAAAATTGCTTGGGACATACCCTGACAGTGAGTTTATGAGAATCAGGCAAAGGGTAACCTTCATTTGGATTGACAATGGTGTATTTGCCAACAGTCATTGCGTTTGTATTGATGTCTTCTGAAATGCATTTGGTTTTCCCTGATTCCAACTCAAACCTCATTGATTCTCCAATGTCTATTTCCAACATTAATCCTAGGATTATCAAAACCAAACCCAGATTTAATCTAAACATTCTTGTCTAGTTAGTTAAAGAAAACTGAATCTCAGGTTTTGTTTCTTTTGCTTTGAAACTTCCGAAACTTTGGAACAGATCTGTTTCTGTTAATGTTGGCTTCAATGTACGCATGTTAATTCATGGAGTCTATGACAGCCTATTAGATTCTGCCACGTATGAAAATTGTAAAGTATAATAATAGTAATTAGAAAAATGCCGGCGCTTTACTACCGGTAAAAAAATTTTATTTTGTTATCTCTATGTATACAACTTTTTTTTTTTAAATGTCTAATTAAAAAATAAAAAAGATAAACAAAAATGATATGCGAATATTTTAATTAATTTTTGTCATAAAATTTATTTAATAAAAAGAATAAATACAAAAAAAAGAGAAAAAAAAGGTAAAAAGGTAAAAATTGGGAAATGAAAAAAAAAAAACTCAGCTCTATTTTGATACTCTATATTAATTTTAAAATATTAATTTTTTAAATTAAAATAAGAAATAACTTTATTAATACAATACATATAAATCATGTTTGATATATAAAATTATGATAGGATAAGATAATATCATATTATAAGTAAGATTAGATTAAATAATGTCGTCTTATTTTGTATTTGATGTATACAATGAATATGATAGGATAATTTATTTATGATCTTCAAAGTTTATATAATTTAAATTATTGATATAATTTTTAAAAGTATAATTAGACATATAAGTTTAATTTCATTGATTAAAAATAATCCTTTCTACTTGGGGAGAATCGAATAATCCTATGCCAATTGAATATTAAAACTCTTTGTAATCCCTATCCCTCCATTTAGATACAAATTAAACATAATATAAAATGATTATTATTCTATTTTATTAATAATTTTATGCATCAAATATGATAATATATGTATAAAATTAAATAAATAATAAAATATATATTTTTACATATATCTCGAAATAGGTAGGGATGAAGTACTTGAAATGCACTTTCGATCTAAGCTTTTTTTATAGAACTTGACCTTTCTCAAGTTAATCTCCGTTAAAAAATTTAATAAATAAATAAATAATATTTTAATCAATAATATCAAATGAATCTTACATTAAAAAATTAAAATATCAAAAGAAAAAAATTTTTAAAATGAAAGAAGAAGAAGAAGAAAAAGTAAATTAAAAAAATAATAAAAATAATAACTTAACAAATAAAAATAGCTCTAGTATCAAGTTGATGAAATAAAAAAATTTTAAAATTTTTTGAAAAATATTTATGTTTATAAACTTGAAAGAAACAAAAAGAAAATAAGTGACAAAAAGAGAAACTGAAATCTAAAAAAAAAATTAAAATATATATAAATACGTGACGTATCCTTGATGTTTAAATGGGTTTCACGCGAAAAAGAATCAAAATCTAAAATATATTTATTAAAAATTTTAAAAAATAAATTTAGAAAGAAAAAAAAAAGGGTATAAAGTAGATCCCATCCAAAAAAGAAAAATCTTAAAAATATTTATTAAATATTAAAAAAAATGAAAAGCATGCAAGTGTCACATAACACAACTAGAGTTGGTATCGGGGCGGGGCGGGTTAGATTTTTTTTCCCCGCCTCCGACCCGAAGCCTTAGTGCTTTTACCCGATACCTGACCCGTCCCCGATCGGGGGTTTTAGTGAAAAACCCGACCCTGACCCGTTACAAATATTATTTACCCGAATAAAACCCAACCTGACCTGAATTCAGTTTATTACCAATTTAAATTTTCACATGAAAACATCATTTGTAACAGACAAACACATTTAGACCATAGAGCATAATTTAATGTGGATTTAAGTCAAATTCTAACCATAAAAATAGTCAATTTTAAATTTTCAAATGCTGTAATAGACAAATACATTTAAACCATGAAACATAATTTAATATGAATTTATAGTCAAATTCTAACTATAACTGTAGTTAAAGATACAAGTATATATTCATCCAATTACAAGAGGCATTAAGTAAACACCTACAAGACCTCACAACAGCTTTCAGTTCAAACACAACAGCTTCCAGCTCAATCACAACAGCTTTCAACTCAAAAAATGTTGTCAGTAAGACACTTTTGGAAATATTAATATCTGATAAAAGTTTTTCTATCCAATCTTCTAAAGAACATCTTCTCTACAATAAACTAACCATTTTGAGAATATTATTATTAAAAATGTTGTATTATTCTTAAAAAATATGGAAATAAATGAAGCTCATCTTAAACATTATCAAAAGGAGAATGCACACCATTTATTGTCCACTAAATAACAGAAATGCATGATCAGTTTTTAGATTACTAATAAATAATGAGAAAAAGGCTAAAGCAGTAAAGCTGGATGTGATACACTATACAATATTTACCTAGTTCATCGGCATGACCAATAGCAATAGAAGTGTTATGTACCTTTTTTTCATATCACAATAAATCATTTCATCATCACTAAGCTCCATATCATCATTCTCCTCTAACCACACTAGTCCTATAAAATAAAACAATAAGATGAATAAATAAATCTCATAAAATAATATATTTAAAAACAATAACATAAAAATGAATTAGTCAAAAAGAATAATATTATTTACCAAATTAGTTATCTTTTCCTTAATCTCACTCTCATCAATATCTTCATAAATAGACTTTTCTTCTAATAAAATTGACCCTACAAATGAAATAATAAAATATTAACAAATAATATATAACAACAAAATATAATAACTAACAATATGTTAAAATAAAAAATAGAATTGCATAATATGCATTACTGTACCTTTTTTTCAGCCCATAACTAATTTTGACAACATGTTAAAGCTTCTATATTTGATGATGAAGTCTGTTGCGTTGCGCATTCACCAACCTCCCTCCATACTAAAAGTAGACTCTGAAGCAACAGTAGAAATTGGTATGACATAAATATCTCTAATAATAAGTTGTAAGATCAGAAATTGAGGTCCAGTTAGTTTCCACCAATTCAATATATCAAAATTCCCTTTTCTTGGTATGACTTCTTCATCCAAATAACGATCTAACTCTGATTTTACTTTTGATTTCTTCTTTTTTTTTCTTGAAACAAAATCATCATAGTCTCCCAGATTTCCCAATTCAGTAGCACCAACACAATCTAAAGATGAAAAGCCTGAAATAGAAGGTTTTTCTTCCTTTTCTAAAGCTAATTTCTCCTCATACTCCTTAAGCAAATCCCGATATACTTGAACAATCCTTTCAATTTCAAATTCAGCATTTTCTCCATAAATCTTTTCAAAGCAATACTCCAACAACTCTGTTTTGTACCTTGGATCTAAAATTGTGGCAACACCCATTATACCATGCACATCATTTCAATATTTTTCAAATTTACCTAACATGCTCACAGTCATACATGAAATAATTCTATTGGAATGCATAATCCATTCATTCAATGCCAATCTGATTTTACAAATATTAAAAAAATAAAGATTTGCAGTAGCATATTTTATGCCAGAAAAACCTTCAGTGATATATAAAATAATTTCAACTTCTCACAAACCTCAATTGCAATGATCCAATCATTTTCAGTTGACAAGTATTTATATAAAGGATCACCATGTAATTGCACACAACAAGGAAAAACATTTTTATAAAACAAAGCTGTTCGAAGCATCAAGTAAGTAGAGTTCCATCTTGTTTTGACATCAACACATAACTTTTTTAAAGTTAGAATACGCAATTGACGTGCTGCTTCTTCAAATTTTTCCCACCTCTTTGGTGTAGCACCTTAAAAAAAGACACTATCACGAATTCTTTCAATTCCATCTTCAATCATACTCAATCCATCTTTCATAATCAAATGCAAGATGTGTGCACAACAACGCATATGAAAAAAAGTCCTATTAAGCAAAAGTGCACAACAACCAATTCTATCAATTAACAACTCAATAACACCATCATTTACACTACAATTATCCACTATAATAGATAAAAGTTTTCTATCAATATTTCAATCTAAGAAACATTTCATCAAACTTGAAGCAATGACCTCTTTCGTATGTGGAGTTGGCACATATTCAAACCTAATTAAATAATCAATTATTTACACTAATTTAATAATTAATTCAATAGTAATAATTACTTAATAAAAAAATAAATACTATTAAAATAAGATAATTTAATAAAATGTACCTGATGATGCGTTTTTGTAAGTTTCATTGATTATCGATGTAATGAGCAGTGACAGCCATATATCCTCTTTTTTGGTGATTAGCAGTCAACATATCAGTGGTAATAGCAATTCTTCCTTCATTAGCTTCTAATTTGGATATTGTTTTTGCCTTTTCTTCTTTGAAAATCTTCAAAATATCATTCTTTATAGTATTTCGAAAAGACATAGCAAACAAAGGTTGAAGACTGTAAGAATACTTTTTAAATTACATATGATCAACCATTGATAAAGGATATTCGTGCATGATTATCATGTTGGCAGGCTCCCTCCTTGTGACATTTTGATCAAAGAAAAAGTTTTTTAGTGTTACTTTTTAATCTGCCTTTTTTTTATTTGCTAGCAGCACTTGTTGACGAATATCCATTTGAAATCACTTGTTGCACCTCTCTGAATAATCACGCAAATGACTTGTTCCATTCTTAAAAGCATCACCAAGTTTTTTCTTACAATAATTGCATATTGCCTTCCATTCATTATTGATCTTCTCTTTTTTAAAATGTTTCCATACTTCTGATTTTAGCTTACTTGAGTTATACCCACTATCATCAACTTCAGCACCATCGTTAGTCACACTTAGTGATGGAGTTGTATTTTCATCAGATGTTGGAATGGGAGTTTGTTGAATTGGTGATTGATGTGAGGTAGAAGTAAAAGATGTTGGGGAACATGAATTATCTCCCAAATTAGACATTTCACCTTTATTCATAAAAAAAAAAAATTAGAGTTAATTCTACTGAAACAATTAAAAAACAAACTTAGAATCTAAGTAACAAAAAAATTAGAAAAGTTCATTCCATAAAAAAAAAAAGTAAAAGATAATCCTACCATGTACAACTTAGCATGCATCTTTAGGTTGTTCAC